AGGAAAAGCACAATGAGCAAAAGCGCAGACGGCAAAAGCTCAGGAGCCTAAATAGGAAAAGCCCAAAGAGCAAAAGCCAAAGGAGCAAAAGCCAAAGGAGCAAAAGCCCAAGGAGCAAAAGACCAATAGGGCAAAAGTTCGAACGGCAAAAGCTCAAACACCAAAAGCTCAAACGACAAAAGCTCCCAGGCGAAAACCTCACAAGCCAAAAGGTCACAGGCCAAAAGCTCACAGGGAAAGGCCTAAATAGGAAAAGCCCAAAGAGCAAAAGCCCCAAGAGCAAAAGCCCAAGGAGCAAAAGCCGAAGGAGCAAAAGCCCAAAGAGCAAAAGCCCAAAGAGCAAAAGCGCAAAAGGAAAAAGCCCAAAAGGAAAAAGCCTAAAAGGAAAAAGCCCAAAAGGAATAAGCCCAAAAGGAATAAGTCCAAAAGGAATAAGTCCAAAAGGAAAAAGCCCAACGAGCAAACGCCCAACGAGCAAAAGCCCAAACGGCAAAAGCTCTCAGGCCAAAAGCTCTCAGGCCAAAAGCTCAAAGGGAAAAAGCCCGACGAGCAAAAGCCTAAACGGCAAAAGCCCAAATGGCAAAAGCCCAAACGGCAAAAGCTAAAAAGGCAAAAGATCAAACAGCAAAAGCTCAAATGGCAAAACTCCCAGGCGAAATCCTCACAGGCCAAAAGGTCACAAGCCAAAAGCTCACAGGGAAAAGCCTAAATAGGAAAAGCCCAAAGCTTAAAAGCCCCAAGAGCAAAAGCTCAAAGAGCAAAAGCCCAAAGAGCAAAAGCCCAAGGAGCAAAAGCCCAAAGAGCAAAAGCCCAAAGAGCAAAAGCTCAAACGACAAAAGCTCAAACGGCAAAAGCTCAAACGGCAAAAGCTCACAGGCTAAAAGCTCAAAGGACAAAACCTAAAAGGGAATAGCCTAAAAAGAAAAACCTAAAGGGAAAAAGCCTAAAGGGAAAAAGTCTAAAGGGAAAAAGCACAACGAGCAAAAGCCAAAAGAGCAAAAGCTCAAAGAGGAAAAGCCCAAAGAGCTAAAGCCGAAGGACCAAAAGCCCAAAGAGCAAAAGCCCGACGAGCAAAATCCTAACGAGCAAAACCCCAACGAGCAAACGAGCAAAAGCCCAACGAGCAAAAGCCCAAACGGCAAAAGCTCAAACAGCAAAAGCTCAAAGGGCAAAAGCTCAAAGGGCAAAAGCTCAAAGGGCAAAAGCTCTCAGGCCAAAAGCTCACAGGACAAAACTCAAAGGCCAAAAGCACACAGGCCAAAAGCTCACAGGGAAAAGCGTAAATAGGGAAAGCCCAAAGAGCAAAAGCCCAAAGAGCAAAAGACC